TATATATATATATATATATATGGCCATGGATTTTAGTAACTGGTTTATTATTTTGGTCTGGAGATAAACCTTGTTAGTTTCCATTGGTATCACTCCGCCTTTTCCGACAAACTAAGGGTGGTCTCACAAAGTGGTCGATTGTATTTGGTTTTCCAACAGACAACCCAGATTTCACGGATTACTTAACTGTTTCCAATTCCAAATGCCTCATGGCCGACTGAATGAAGTTATCTAGTTTGCCTGACGGTAAATTTTCTCTCATGAATTTGGATCGATACCATCTTCCAAGATGTTCCTCACTATGTTATGTATAGAACTGAAAGCCTATTTCTCGAGTAAGACGTTAGCTAACTCATCACCGTGTAACCGTCGCTGTCCAGTTTAGAGTTCTTGCCACGTGGCTCACAGCAGCTCAGTGGTCTTACGGGGACTACTTTCTTGTTCCCGCACCCAGTTTCCTCTGCCTTGGTTGCATGGCTCCAAATAGGGGGTGCGTACGGTCTCTTTTCCGGAGGCGATCTTATTCTTTGACCGTTGGATAATGGAGCCCTGTATTGTACTATCCATGGAGTGGTCTCCCTTTAGATGAACTCTCGAGAAATTCCCACATAATGTCAGTCACACCTTATAATAACCCATCCACCAACCAGGCCCACGTTTACTTCCTGCTAGGCGTAATTTATATTTATTGTTGCTGTACTTAACTTTGGCCTAACCGAGTTCGTGCTGGTTCTCAACTCATCACAGTCTACCTTTCTCCGCATAGGTCTACACCCTCGGCCCAGCTTTCCGCGCGGAATCCTCGAACACGCGACATCATCTGGCTGAGTTTCACATGCTTGAGTTGGAATCGGTTCACTTGAGATCCGTGGATCTCTTATGTGACGAAATTGAAACAGTTATTCGTCTAATAATTGGGGAATTTTTGGAGCTCGTCCAATCCACTGCGGGGCAAGCAGGAACCATTCAAGGAAAAAGTGACTTGGCACATGTAAGTTTGCTGACAGGACTGCTAAAGTGCAATGCGGTATTAATCAGACTGTTCTCTTCTTCCCTTTGAGCGTTCACATACACATACTGCCAAACAGCTAGAAAGCACATCAGAGTATCTTACTGGCTCTCCACCGTGGTTTACATTACTCTAGTGATAGCAGACCTGATTTATCTTGTTGCATCATTCTGACGTATATTCAAGGAAGTTCAAGCACATAAGTTAGGACTTTCTGCCAGCTATTTCCAACTTCTTTAGGGAGACAATTTTCTTCCGTACCACCAGCGAGTTTTTAGCAGATGGGAACTCCAAGGCGAGGCCCAAATACGTTTTCGGTTGTGGTGAAACGGCGTAGACGTAACATGCTTCACGTAAAGTTGCTAAAAATCTTCGACAGCTCATGACCGGTTTCGCCCTTCTTGAGTGTAGAATTCGCAAGTTTTGCACGAACCCAAATCTTTCTACCTTCCTCCCATTCTCTGATTCTCTCGCAGATTGATTTGGCTTCTGTACAATCCAGCCTCAGCAGCGAGCAGAATTGGGCACGGCTTCCTTATCCCGGAACTCTGGATACTTCGTGTCTGATTGAGCCACTGTCACAGATGAAATCCCTATTATCGAGACCTTTCGTAAGAATTACCTTCGAGGACGCCTTGCACCACTTATGTGAGCGATTTGGAGCACGCCACCCAACGGAAGACTTCACTAAAGAAGAAGAACGTCACATTGTGCAGTGGTTCGGTGAGTCCCGGCCGGTATTCGTCACCGATTTCCCGGCCTCTCTGAAGCCATTCTACTGCCTTTCTTCTGATGGAGTACGGGCAGAAGCAGCTGATCTACTTTTCCCAGATGTTGGAGAACTGGTGGGCGGAAGTGTTCGTGAGACAGACGAGTCCGTATTGCGCCAACGGTTGTCAACAAATTCACCGGAGCTGTGCGCAAACGAGTGGTATTGTGGTCTGCGTGGACTTGGCAGTGCACCACATGGGGGATTCGGACTCGGGTTCGAACGGCTTTTGCAAATTCTCCTCGGTGTACACAATATTCGAGATGTTACTCCCTTCCCCAGGGTAATGAATAAAATCGTTCTATGATACTTGCTTGATTTAGTTGTTTGTTTCTGCGAAACGTGGTATTTCTTGTATGCAAGATGACCTTTAAAAAACTATCCTTTGCGTCTCAATACCTAAGAGATATCAGGAATTGGTAAACCAGGTCTTTGGTGATTGAGTAGACAGGTCGAGTGGAAATGTGTGCAGTTTACGTCACAGTGTGGGTGGAATAACTGTGAGGAAAACCTCAGGTGTCTGGACCATCCGTAAAAGCGAATTTGCTTGCATTCCAGGATTTTGTACCACACGAAATGTATTTTCTACACCAAGTCTATGTGGTATTGGATAGACTGTGGCACCATTCCAGCGTTGAATATGTGACAGAACGAAGCTGAGACGACGGGTTACCAGAATGTGGGAACCAGATGAGGCCGTGTGTGGATGCTGTGTCGAGCAAGCCATTCACATCGCTCAAGCATGAACACGTTCAACTGTTCAGGCGTGATAATTTAGGCATGTCTAACATGTGCTGCTGGAGTAGGGGAAGCAAGCTTGCCTCGCCTGTTGGATGTCTGCAGTTCAAACCCCAGAGCGTCATTCTTCGGTTTTCAGTTAGCAACTCCTGACCCGGTCTGTTTATTCGAGGCAGGAAAAATCTGCAAACTGCATTCCGGTTTAGTGGTCATCCTACTACTCTGTTTCCCGGTAAGACAAACGATCCTGAGTGTCCCATGCGTCCAGTCGCTGGGTTACACCCATTTCCCTGGCGTTTCGCATTCAGCTTTCTTATTCCCATCAAACAGTTTTACTTTGTTAGGAGTGAACCAGTGCGGCTTGTCCTAAGTTGTGCAAGTCACCGATCACTTTTCTGGTTTCTTTTGTGTTGCATTTCATGCTCCGGACATTCCTAAAGTTCTTGACATACAAAGCGACCTCAAAGACATTTGTGATCCATATTTTACCACAGATTTCTGAGTACCTTCTCCCGTGTTTTCGACTTATTACCTGAAAGCCTTTCCCTGACTAGCCGTACCTCCGACGGGTTGTTGTGGCTGGGGTCAACGCAAGTGGCGAAAACCTGCTACAGTCTCCGATATAACTTTGTATCGAATCTGCGGGTACATACTCCACATCAACCCACATCTTTATCGCGACGCACTTACATCGAAAGCAAACACTTTCAATGAAAGTAGACCGTCTCAGGAATCAAAGGCTTGCTTTTTCTTTGTGGATTGGTGGTACTTGACTTCCTGGCATTCAAAACGGCCATTTCGTGTCTTCAGAAAGCACTGCAGAGGTGCACAGTGTTTGCACAATCGAATTGAAATTTCAAGAGCTACGACGTGTACTTGTTAGACTAAAAGAGACCGGCAATTGAGTTTCGAGTACGAGTCTAATCTTTTGAGCCCCATCTAGGCATTCCGGTGTATTAGTGATGCTAGGAAAGTATTCCACCAGACTTTCCGCCGGAGGTATAATGGCTTCGGTGGACAATGAACTTTGCTGCAAAAATATGGGCGCAGATTTAACGGTTTTTGGTTTGAGCACATATGCAATGATATGCAACACTTTGACGTAAAAAGTTTTATTCCATACGCAAAGGTTTTGTAGCCAAGAGCATTGTGCGGTTAATGGGTCCCCACTGGAGATTAATTCCAAGACTCACTTTCAAAGTGGCGCTGTATTTCACTTGATCAACTTGCATGTCAACGTTTGAGCCGCTCTAGTGTACTGATAATTCACAACCGGTATATGTAACTTCTTCAGAAATCAGTAGTCATCGTAGGAAACAGATTGTCTGGTTATTCGTCGCATCTGTTTTAATTTCATTGCACTACGTTGGCACAACTTGCCAGTGGACAGTTTTTAAACGTCAGCTATAAGTAGCTTTATTCAGTGCCATATCAAGAAGTTTGAGCAAAATGCAATCAGCCGTTCAGAAATTATGGCAGTCTACGCACCATGACGCCTGAATGGGTGCCTTGATGGAGAGCGTTTGTGACATAGCGTGAAGCAATCGCATTGTGGTTTGGGCAACTTGGATATTTTTAGTGTTTTTCTTAAGGTGATCAGCTTGAAGTGCTTCTTGTGCTGCGTTGGAACTTCTCCCTATTCATGCTGAAGTAATATCAACTCGTTGAGCAGATTGGGTGGGCGAATGAGACAAAAACTCTGAAGTATCTAACAATCATTCGAATATGAAGGCATATACCTCTGAACTACAGGAAACGTTTTTCGACAAAGGGCCTGCAACTGCGCCATTTTGTGTTGGAACATATTTCTTCTCCGAACGTTTCGATACAGTTCTCAAGGCCGTTCCCCTTGGTGAGCATTGAGTGAACAGAAAATAGTCACATCCTAGCAAAAATGAGCCTGGTAAACTGTGCGCAAAATAGCTTCCAGAACATAAAAATTTCGAAGTCGAACCTTCTCGTGTGTGGCTTCATTTGATGTGGTCTTTCTTCAGAATCTAGCGGATGAATTAGCTTACTGAGCTCTCACTTGTATGCAGCGATCAGAATTTTTATGGAACATCTCAGAAACGGATAATTAATATTATAGATGAGAGACGCACAATCACATCGTCGGTTCCATTTTGAACGTAAAAAGCTGTCCCCGATGGGGCGTAATTTAATTTTCTCAAGGAATAAGATGAAGCTCTCCACCCTCTTCAGAACCTAGGAGTCAATAAAGCAGGATGCAGCACCGGGGTGAAATATGCTGATGTTGACTGTCGTAGGAATACACTCCAGGAGTATGCCCCGAGACACCCTCAATTTCCCCGAAAACTTAGTCTGAACGAGGGGACCCTTAACATAAACATACTTCAAGTGCGACAGTTTTTATCCTCTGTCCATGAGGTCGCCGTTTTGTCAAAAAGTGTCTTAACTTACTCGAGGTCCATTGCAGGTGCGGAATTCATATTTTTGCGCCCACCACTTGCTTCGCGTGATATCACCGTAAGGACATTGAGACGTTTTGTGGAAAGGCTGGTTTCCTCGTGTGTTTTCTTCTGTAGTATATTTTTAAATGATAAAAAAACTACGTGAGCAATAATGACGCCATCTGCCTCCACACAAACTCAAAATCGAGTAACTATTCGCAAACTGTTTGGGAAAGAGATTGTTATCTTTGCGCCCCTCAAAACATAGCCAAGGAATTCGTCACAGCTAGTAAGTCCTCCAGTTTATTTTATGATGGTCAGCACAGGCTGTATGAGGTACACGGCAAAGCTTAATCTTCACTGGCATGCTGACCTCTTGATGGTGCCACTATAGGAGTTGGTGCGTCCATGGGCAGAACGGGCAGGCGGTATAATAGGATGGTAAGTGTTTCATTTTTCTGATACACATTCAACGGATTTGTGCGGTCTTTTGGGCGCGTGCAACGATCGGTTGGGAAATATAACGGAAATGACAGATTTCAGTCAAGTCGGGGTATGGCAGCCGCGTTGCCGTCATCGTGACGTAGCACTTGGAGTCGTGGACAGCCTGGTATATGGACATTTTGGAGGAGTCAGTTTAGGTTGTCATGGTAGCTAGGGTTGGCCAGGGAATCGTGACAAATCAGGGCCTGCATGGACCAAGGATATTCCTGGGTCCATCGAGGCCACATAGTGGTTCATTGCTCACATTCAAACGAGTCAATAACCCAGCCGTGTCCAAATTGGAGACCATAATAGGAAAAATGTCAAAATGTTTGCTAGAACGGCACTTTTTCATGAGTTAGACTGCGGTCCGAAATAGCAGACAGCGAAAAGTGGTCACAAATTCTAGCTGCTGCAGTTGGACTACACCGCCCATCTTCAAAAATGGTGACAGATATTCGGGGGTAGACTTTAGGTATGCGATCGATCTGAACGGATGTGAGCATATGCGGCATGAGAGAAATGCATTAGCTTAATTGCGTGCAACTAATCAAGCTCGGAGCGTGTAGAGACAGGAGACTAAAGAAAAACATGTATTGTCCGGTGATTATGTGGTTTTGTACGATGGGTTCATTTCAGAATGGCGCAGTTATGGCAAAATAAAACCGTGAGGGCTTTGCAAAATCAGTGTACAGTGAAGCGTGATACCGCACGTAATTAGTGAGTCTCTGTTAGCATTTTTTCTCTGATCTCAGTGAACTTTTGGATTCATGTGAGGAATCCCCGGGATATATGAAACCAGGTTAGGCGTGGGCCCACGGCACAGACGTCGGACAAAATCTGCTTCCATTTTAGTTTTCTCCCTTCATTTCAGAAGACGGAGTATGAGGTTCAGCATACTGTAGGAATGTATTTGGGGGGGGGGCATGCGGCTGAAGTGCGAGTTGGCAACCGCGCATTCTCGTGTCGTCGCGGAAAGGAAGTGCAAATGGGACGGATATGGTGCGGAGAGATTCGGTGGATATTTATGCCTTGCGTAATCCTTCAGGTGCTGAAACATCGCCAGGCATACGAGCGACACACAATTTTAGTATTCCTTGACTTGGAAGACGCATTCGACCTGGGTGACCAGTCTGTTCTTGGCGCGCTTCCCTATCAGGAAATGCCCCTGGAACTTTATGAACCTTGTAAGTTCTTTGTATTCTCAGACTTCCGCACGTATGAGAAGATATGGAGAGCTCTCCAAAGGCCTCCGTACACAAAGCGATGTCCATCAGGGGTGCCCACTCTCTATTCCTTAGTCGTCCGCAGAAAGTAGACGTGGACTTGAAAGAACATCTGGAAGGTCGTTAAAGTAAATCCGAAACTGCAGTGTCCCTAATACATAGCCTTGAGGAATTCCAATGTAGACCGGTGCCGAAGAAGAGTAGGTCGAGCCTACTGAGGCCATGTAATCAACACTGAACATGGACACGGGCCCAACAGTTAATAATAGTAATAATAATGTTTATTCCCAGCTTGTGGGTGGCACACCGTCTGCAATGATCATATTTTTGCAGTCAGAATGAGGCATGACTGGGGGTTTGTGATGGTGCGGGTGCACAAAAAGGGGACATTCTCATGAACAGTGGGGAATAGTAATGATATTTAATAGTAATAATAGGTTTCTTTGCTAACTTGTTGAGAACAACAGGTATGAGGTCCGA